AAGCTTAGCACTTATTTTAAAAATTGAGAAACCAAATAAATAGGCAACTGTGTGTATTGACTTAGTGAAACATAAATTAATTTTTAATAAATTAAACAAAATTATATTATATGCTTTGGTAGTGAAATAGTTTGAAAATATGTACATATGTAAGTTTTTTCACAATATGTTTTCAGGATATTTTTAAAATGTAGTTACAATCAAATCCTGTAAATGGTTGTTGCAAGTTTACTGGAATTTGGCAACCTCTGAAATCTGCTTGAATTTTCAAGTAATTGATTTTCCGGAAAATTCGTAAAACGGTTGGATAGTCTGGAAATACTTTTTTTTTAAATTAAAATTTTATGCAAAACTTAGAAAACCAACTTTAATTATGTACAACCAATAAATTTCATCTATATCTTCTTAAAGATGAAATTAATTTTTCATTAACTTCAGACTTGAAATTTTGCTTAAAAACTCTATATTAAAAATTTTATAAAGCAAGTATTACTTTCAAAGCTCCATAATTTTGAAAAGTAAAAACAATTTTTTTTTGCTTTTGAATTAGCCGCATTGACACATGCGCATAGGCGTTTACAAGTGCACGTAAGACCTTTACGACTGCACATATGCGTGTGCGCAAGTGCAGAATACGTTTTCGTGTGCGCATTTTATGTATAATGAACGGTATAAGCTAAAATTATCTAATTATCTATTTCAGTTAATGTTGATGATTGCATTGTTCCTTAATCTTCGAGTTGGATCCGGCTTATTATTTTAAGAGCAATTTTATAAAAGTAAACTTAAATTTTCGATTATGTCAAATAGAATTTCCGATGCTGGAGTTCCCAAAGGATCTACAAAACGAAAGTATGTTTCGATGTCCATCAAACAAAAAGTGGAATTGCTGCAAAAAATGGATTAAGACATGAAGAAGGTGACAGATAGAGGTTAGCGAAAACGAAAAAATTTCGATTGACAAGTTAGTCGGTATTCTCGGCACAGCAATTACAGGACTTGAACAGCGAAACCTTGTAACTGAACAAGAAATTATGTCTGTTTATAGAATTAAAGAGAAAGTATTATCACATAAAACGAAACAACTTACATTGAAAGAAATGTTTAATAAAGTAAACAAATAAATATTAAGCTTTATTTTTTTGTAAATTTTGATACCCTTTAGATCATAATTGTTCTTTATTTCATAAATTACGGTTTCATATTTTCAATTTTAGAATTTCTGCATGCCATCTTACGAGATTTAAACTGATGATCTATAATCCGGAAAAATCGATAATCCGGAATCGCTGAAGTCCCAACGAGTCCGGATTAACAACTTTTGACTGTATACAAAAAAAAAAAAGTACAGTCAATTCCGGTTAATCAGACCACATCGGGAAGCGAACAGTTTGGTCCTAATAACCGGCTGGTCGGATTACACGAACATGTCATATGTTGTAAGATGGGACGTGCTATATGTAGCAAACAGTAAATGTGCATATAAATCATGTACTAAAATGTAATTATGATCTTTATTGTGCGGTACACATACATGTATGGCAAACATATATGTACAAACAAAAACTACAGCCGAACGTTTTTCATTGAGAAAATTAATTTAGAAACAAATTCTAATAAACGATCTCCACGATACTCAGCATGCGAAGCACAATAAAAACAAGTTCTTACCAAGTTTCAGTCAACATCTGAAGAATTTATCCAGTGTGATCTGATGCGTTCTCTTGACGGATTGATTGCATATGAATTTAATCACCACAAACATCTAATGCAGCAATGGGACTGCCTTCGTTTCCCTCCTGCATGAAATACCGATGCAAAGTTTCAATGCATTTCCTCACATCCTGTGTTGTTATTTGCACCAACTTATTAGTGGCATCATCATTTTCTTGTGTTGTGTGTTTTGCTGCAATTCAAGCAATGATTGCAGTGTCGTAATCTTCATTTTCATCGTAGCATTGAAGCCCGTTGTCGATGAATAAAAATTCTTCCTAATTTTGTACCTGTTGAAGTTTCACACGTCCATCATCATTTTCACTTGCTATGATCATGTCCACATCCAACTTCAAAACCAAGTGCTTAAAGCCACAGTGAGAAAAACAGTTCTGAATTGTCTCACTGCTCACTTTTCGCCAGCTGTCAGCCACAAATGTAACTGCTTGTAAGATGTTGACCTTTGCACTGACTTTGCTGGCTTTTGACGAAGAGGTCAGCAAACTTTCTTCAATTGCTTCAAGGATGTAATTAACCAACCTTGCACAATATAGGGTCTTCAAATTCTTGATGATGTCCATGTCCATTGGCTGAACCAAAGCTGTGGTACTGGGAGGTAAAAATTCCAGTTGGATGTTCTTCAAGCAATCTAAATGAAGATTTGCTGCGCAACTGTCAAGAAGAAGCAGCACTTTTCTCGACTGGCGTTGTAGCTCTCTGTCCAATTCTTCAGCCATTCTTTAAAAAGTTCAGAGGTCATCCACGCATTTCTGTTCGCATGTGGTATACACAGACTGGTAAACTCTCCATTGCTACGGTCCTTTACAGCAGCGAGGCTTCGTGCAGGTTTTCGCATGATAACCAACAAGCTTCCTCTTGTCCGTTCCTGACATGTTTGAGCAGCACAAGACAGTTACGTGATCCATCGCTTTTTTTGGAGCCATGTTGTAACTTAGCGAGCTGTCTGGTGTAGTGCGATAATACAGCCCAGTTTCATCAGCACTGTAGATATCATCTGCTGAAAAATTTTCAAGAAGTTCGGGCAGTTTTATTGATTTCCATTCTTCAGCATCTGCACTGTCAGCACTTTCATTCTCGTCTTGTGCTTTCTTGAATTTTATGTCATGTCTAGATTTCCATCGAGACAACCATCCGTCTGTAGCTTTAAAGTCATCATGGCCTAGCTTTTTAGAGAGTTCTTTTGCTTTGCATTTTAATATTAGGCCGCTTACTCGCACAGCTCCTCCAGCAACAATGGCAAACAATTCATTAAGTGCCCCATCGACATCTGGATCCTTGCCTTCATGCTTCCGTTTTTTTTATTGTATATCGAATATATATTTTTTGAATATATATATTTTTTGGAAGTTCCTCCTCGTCCTTCACATTGTGCCCATTCTTCTCGCAGCTCATTCTCTTGTTTTTTCAAGTGCGAAATTGTAGTCTTTGCCAATCTGGTAATTTTCACCAACTGAAGTTGATTAGTTTTCGTGGTTGTTTTTATCCAGGAAACCATTTTTTTCAGCTAACGTCAAGTCCCGTCGTGGCAGGGGAGACAAGGCAGGCGCACAGTTCACTGACTAAAGTGGTCTGAAGAAACCTTGGTGCTTCGGGGTCAAGATGTTGAGGACAAGATAAAATGCTCGCCATTCAAAGCTTTGGCACTAAAATCATCCCAAAAGTGTGGTGATATGATAGCCTTCTCGTGTAAACTTTAATCATGATTGACAGGCGGGAATTCCTTTCAGGTGGAGCCGGACACTCTATTGTTCACTTCCTCGAAAAGTGGAGACGTAGTGGGACTAATAACCTGCTGGCGGCTATTGGTGGCTCTGTTTTAAGAAAGGTCAAAGAAAATGGTGTGCATGTTCACATCCCTCTGGTTTTGCTCTTGTCATGCACTTTAAGGAATTCCTGACTTTTACTAAAGCATTCTCCTAAGGAGCACAGCTACAGATCCTCCCATATGCCGTGAACCATCTGTACATCCGCTGTACGCGGCCAACTTGTGGCTTCTGTTTCTTATTCATTCTCATGTTTTTTGGTCCGCTTAAACGGAATTTTGGTCCAAATAAGCGAATAATATTAGGCTTATGTACATAGGATTTGTTTTGGTTCTTTAGGATTCGGTCTGAAAAAGCGGATGGTCCGATTATCCGGTGGTCTAATTAACCAGATTCGACTGTACTTTATTTTTAGAAAATGGAAAGTATTTTTATATATACTCAAAATAGGTAAATGTTCTGATATATGAATGTTGAGTTTGATTTGACCTGGCAACACCGGCATTTTATCACCGTCAGTTCATTTCGCAGCATTGTTGACATGAAGCTCTAAAAAAGAAACACTGAGATTTAAATGTTAAAACAAATTACAAGAACACTGAGCGTTACATGCAAACTGTTAGAAAGCTTCATGCAATCTTTGGAGGTGAAAGTGCATCTGCTGAGCAACAGGTTCGAAAGCAAACATTAAATCACCACACTATCTATCCAAATGGTAAATTCAAAACAGTGCTATGATACTAAAAGTCTAAACAAATTTTTAACTTGAAACAACAAAAAAAAAAAAAAAAAAAAAAAAAAAAAAAAACGTTAAGAAGAAACTGAGCATGTCGTTAGCTCGATAGACAGATACATGAAAAAGTAATTACAAATTTCATCACAAGATGTTTTAGTTTATTATTTCAAAACACACTAGGGCTATCTGCCTAAGGGAAGGATGCCTTTGTGGACAACTTTCCAAAAGAAACTGGCTGATATACACGCTCCACATGGGAAAACCAGTGCTATCTGACTTTTTAAGGGAAACTGGCTCGTATATATGTTGCACATGGGGAAAATGCCTATGTAGCCAGCCCGTTCACCTGGATTCGAGCCTAGGTTGGAACTACCAGTGTTCAACAATTTTATCACTCAGCTGCTGGTGGGCCTCTCAAACTTCATTAAGAAAGTGCAGTGCTGCAGATTTGATTGTGAAAATATACAAGAATGCTGAGTATTACACAAAAACTGTTAGGAAGCTCTGTGGAATTTCTCAGTGAAAGCAAGTTGTGGAAGAAATATGCCAGACATTATTCAGAATATTTACTTGTTGTGTATAAAAATATTTTCCATTTTCTGAAAGTAAAGCATTATATTGGACATATTAAATGTGTACTTTTGTTGAGACACCCTACATTTGCACACGCAAGATATTGCAATGATTGTTTTAAAAAATATTGGGGGGGGGAATTAGATACTTAAGTAATAATTCTGAGGTGTGCAATTTCTAAAGTCAAACTACGCTTTTTTACCACAAATAAATTTAATGAATTTAACACAATAACACATATGTTACAAAAACTTATGATTACAAGAGGATATACATGAATGAAACATTTTCAATGATCATGACACATATCAGAAATCGATCACAGAACTTTTTTCTTCTTAAATAATTATTTAATCCTTCATTTCCCCCTTGAAGCTAAGAAAAGATCATAGAATTATCTTGAGATCTCAACTGAACAAGTGATATTTGATATAAAGCCTGTTCTTTATACTCATTTAACTGCATATTTATTACAATATGTAGCATATGCTACTATATCATATACCTTTCATTCAGGATTTTTTATAAAATATTTAAAAAATATGCTAAAATATTGTTTTATGTTTAAAAATTAGCATACATTTATATATAAAATTCTTTATTCTGAATTTTATATTTGTGCTATTCTTCTATAATCTTTATGCATCAAATATATGGATACTTTTAATAAATCTATATTTGAGAAAAATCAAATTTCTCTAGTATTCAAATTAAAGCATTTTACTTCAAGAAGTAAATATCATAAATTAATGCAGAATCTATGGCCTTGTTATATATGCAAATTTGAGCATATTTCTATCAGCAATTACAAATATTTGTTGGCATATGCACAGAAAGAAAATTTTGTATATTATTGTTTCACAATAAAGTCTGGCACATTGAAAGACCAGGACAGCAGTATACAAATAAATAAAACACAAAGCATGCACCTAAAGTTTGAACAAGGACAGGTATTATAATTTTAAAAAAAAACATGCTGGCAAGCACAGCTATTCCTTTTATCAAATTATAACTATTTAAATAAATTTCACAAGTTGAAAGGGAAAAAACTTCATTTTAATGCTAAGCATATTTTTCTTTTCATATTTAAGTTCAATTACGAATGATTATATTAATAAAGAAAACCAAAATGCACACTGTAAAATTACAGTTTTGATGTAAACAATATTGTCATGTAAAGAAATTTTAAACTACATAAAAATGCTATGTTTAAAAAATACTAACAGTGTTTTTCTTTGTCATGTTTTATATAAGTTACAAACAGGAGTGTAACTATTCTAAACAGCTTTTCTTGTACAATAAATTTAAATGAATTATCTTCTTCTGAGTAAATTACTTGACAATGTACTCGCTAGACTTGATTTTTTATTACGTTCTTCTAGTATTCGTTTATCTTCCTCTTCCTAAAACAAAATACATATATCAAAATTGCAATAACAACCTTGTATTTAGCATAAGTATATTAAAACACTCAATCGATTTTAAGGGCAGCTAAAGGTCCCTCCTCATCAGGAGAACGAAATTCCTAGAAAAGGGAAAAAAGAAGAAAAAGCATTGGCAAAGGAGTCTCAGAAACACGTAGTCCTTATCGGCACTGCACGTGGATTATGCAGATTCTTTATTATTTAATTTCTTCAAATATAATACAGGGTGATAATATTTAATGGCAACAGTTTGAAAAGTAAAACGGACATTTGTAGTGACTTGACACAAAATCGCAAAACAGAAACAATAGTCCCTCAGGGACAAAACCCCTTTGAACTAAAAATAAAAAATAATGTTGAATCATAATGTTTGGTGCAGTTTGTAGGAAGGCTACTTTTCTTGGACTCTTGAACACATTTTGGCTACTGCCCCATTAAGAGAAGAATACCAAAATTCCAATTACTGCTTACTTGATTGAGAGAACAGAATTTTCATTCACAAGTTCAGTGGCTTTGCGGAAAATATTTATTTAAGCAATCATCAACAGAATATAATTGATTACTTCAATGCTTCAGTAGAAAAACCTTTCACTAAAAATGGCCAAAGTCATTTTCATATCATTGTTGACACCTGACTGGCAATGTGGATTTACAGTCAGGGAATTTTCAGTCTCTTATTGTAGTATAACTTTTTACTTTCAAGATAACGATGGTATGTTCACTTTGTTAGACATACGTACTCAAAAATAATTATTTTTGGTAAAATATATTTTGTTGCCCTTTTTTTTTTTTTTTAAACACGGCATTATCGAGCAATTCACATTATTTAAAATTTGATTATTAAATAGAAAATTTTTCATTTGTGACGGAACCATAGATTGCTAAGATTTAGCAATTTATTCACTTAGTTCAAAAATGTCAACTGTTATATAAAAAGATAACAAAGCTTGAAGAATAATTTGTGGAATTTTTATGAACTATGCATGATAATTTGATATTCTACAGAAATAATTTTACAATATATACTTGTATAATGATAATTTTAACCCTCTCAGCATTATTGACGTAAAATTCTGTATGGAAGAGTGGCTTTCATATTTAATACACATGAAAATTTCTGTCAGCTTTTAATGTATCTGATTTTGGGTTGGATGTGTATTGGAAGAAAAGGAATCACATCGAGAGATTCATTTTTTTAATTATAATCAAGAAAACTTTATTTATTCATGACAATTTGAGGAACTTTGAAATTTTAGGGCCGAACTCGTAATGCTCGGAGGGTTAAATCTTAAAATGACATTAAAGCAGTTCAGAAGGAAGTAATACAGTACAAAGTCCGTAATCCGGGACTTCGGCGATTCCGGACTATAGATCATCAATTTAAATCTGGTAAGATGGCATGCAGAAATTATACAATTAAAAATATAAAACTGTAATTTATGAAATGAGCTATTATGATCCAAAGGGTATCAAAATTTACAAAAAAAAACTTAATATTTATTTGTTTACTTTATTAAACATTCATCACTTTGAGCATAACGAACCCCTTTTCTGTTAGTCATTGCAAGTGGGGTGTCGGAATCCACAAAATATTCAAAAATTTCCTTTTTCTTTTTACTTACGTAATATACAGTCGACTTTCCAATGTCATACTCTCGCATATTTTTTAGACGGATATGCACATAATTTTGAGACTTTATCCATTTTTTGCAGCAATTCCACTTTTTGTTTGATGGACATCAAAACATGCTTTCGCTTTCTAGATCCTTTGGCAGCTCCAGAATTTGAAACTCTTTTTGACATAATCGAAAGTTCAAACTTACTTTTTTTTAAATTGCTCTAACAGTTTGCAAAAAATAATAAGCCGGATCCAATTAGAAGATTAAGGAACAGCGCAATCTGCAACATTAACTGAAATGCCTTAGATAATTTTAGCCTAGCTTATACCCTCCGTTATACATTAAATGCGCATGCGTAAACATATTATGCACATGCATAAAGGCAATATGCGCATGCGTAAACACATTATACGTTTACGCATGTGCATAAAGTTTGTAGCTTTGAGGTCCGGATTATGGACATCTGGATTACAGACTTTGTACTAGTGTGTACTAGTAATAGAGAAAAAATTCTTTAGAAATACCTGAAGTTTTCTTTGATTATCTTTAAATACTTGAACTGGATCATCAAACTGGCTATAATAGTCCAAAACTGTGCGAACATCTTCAACTTCACTAGTTGCTATGGCTGAAATTAATTAGATATAAAAATGTTATGTACATTAAGAAAATTCCATTAGACAAAAGCCAAAAGATTTTATAGGAGAATTTATTCAAATTTTAATAGTTTAGATCAGAACATAATAAAAATTATAATTAATGTAAAATAGAAAGCAACACATCGATACGGTTGGATTGAATTTCAATTGAATTTGACAGTTTATTCAGTTATTATAAATCCTTGCTTCTTTGTGCTAGCTGAATTTTATTGGGTGACTGTAAATGTTTGTGCCAATTTTCATAGATGGCAATTCTTTGATAGATCCTGCTATTTCTTTTATAATCCTATTAACTAACAGTTATTTAGATGAATTGTGAGTAAGCAAAGCCTTAAAAAAAGTTTATTTAAATTCGCTTCTTTGCAGGGCTGATATGCAGAGTGGAAAATGAAAACAGTTACACTTCTATACACTGCATACATATATGGGTTTTAAAAAGGAGTGACTATTAGAATTGCAATAAAAAATACTGCTCTTAAACTGGTTTGGTCAATTATGAAATGGCGACTTCAGTCTAAATGATAAACTTAGCTCTGGGCAACCTTCTGGTATTAATAATGATCCATGATTAAGTGAATAATAATTCTTAGATTAGCAGTAAAGAGATTGCTAAGAGACTAAATGTTGACAATTCGACCATTTACAGCAATCTGGATGCAGCTGATATATAACATTTGTATGTTTTGACAGAATGGAACAAACAGAACTATGTTTCCACAGCTATTTTCTCCTCACTCATCAATAAAACAAACCTTTTTTTTTTTTTTTTTTGGATAAATTAATAACTGGAGATGAAAAATGGGTTATGTATAACAGAAAAACAAAAAAGAAGCTGAAAATATGGAAGTGAAAGAGAAGAAACTATAGCATATACTGAACTGTATCCAATAAATGTGTTGTTATGTGTCTGGTGGGATTGCACAGGAATAATTTATTACGAGCTTCTTCCCCAGGCAAAACAATTAACTACAGATAAGTAATGTGAGCGACTAAGTGTTGAAACCCAAGCAAAACAAACAAATTTAATAAATCAAAAAGGCATTTTTCACCATGACAAAGTTCAATACATGTCGCTCATCATACATTGGAAAAATTTACGGAGTTTGAAAGAGAAATCCTCTAGCATCTGCTGTACTTGCCTGACCTTGCTCCTTCAGATTTTCACTCTAGCAAAATAATCTGAAGAATAAAAAAATTTGATTCTATGGAAAAGGTCAAAAACTACCGCATGGCTTTCTTTGAGGAGAAGTCAGTCATACAGTTTCTACAAAGAAGAAATCTAAAAACTCGCAAAACGCTGGGAGGGAATTGTAGATGATGATGAAGAGTATATAACTGATTAACAAACAATATTTCTGATGAAAATGTGTTGTATCTGATTTCATTTCAAATTGGGTGTGAACTTTTGCAATTAGATAATAGTGTTGTTATGTTGTTACATATGGCTTTATTGGAAAGATTAATCCAAACATAAAACAGCTCAATTATCAAATAAGAACAATGATAAATAATAAAAAAGAACAAACATTTATAAAGTAAGAATCAGAATAAATGAACATGGGAACAAAAGTTAAAAATTACATAATAGTATTAAATAGCTTTATGTTTGAAAGTTTTATGTTTCATAAAATAAAATTTTATTATAATGTGCAGCAAAATGTAGTATCATTAAAAAGGGATATTCTCAGCAATATAAAACACAATTTTAAATAGCCTTTAGAAAATATCATACATAATGTAATGAAAAGTTAAAAAAATAAGCAATGTTTTGTAACAGGTTGGCATTCTGTGTGCTGATAGTTCAAAACCAAGCCCTTAATTTAGGACTCTAATATACAAACTGTCTAGGAGGTATAACTACTATAAGAAACTTCTAAAATTCTCTTCATAATTGGAGAGAGAGAGCTTGCTTATTGTTTTTCTTTCTGAAATAAATGCCAACCTACGACACTGAAAAATCAGGAGAATTTTTTCAACGACAAAAAAAGACTTTAAATGATAAAAATATGTTTGAAATATGAAAATATGTTTCGTAATAATAAATTAAGTTTAACTACTAACTCATAAATGCAATGTACTCTTACAAATATTGGATCTAAATTTAGTCCTTGTTTTCCAATGAGAATCTTTTTTGCATTATGCATTACTATGGGAAATTGTCAAGATTACTGAGGACAGCTAAACTTAAAATTCCGTCAGCACTTCCAGTTTTCCAATTAAACTCCACTGGGCATCAATCCTACTATCACTAGCTGATTATATTTTTCTAATTGTAAACTGCAAAATTGCAAATGCAATTTATCAGCTGCAAAATCAGTATCATTATCTAAATGAAGTAAAACTGGAAATCTAGTCATAAAATATCTTATAACAAAAGAAACATTTCCTAGAGCAGAAATATCTGCAACTTTAGCATGCCAAATCATTTCTGCATTGATGGAAATTTATATAGTATGTTATCACATATTCGGCAGAAGTAACGAGGAAATAAAACTTATTTTTCTTCTGCTAATTTGCTAGTTGCAGCCTCTAATTACTAAATCTTCCTCTTTCTTTTGATTTGCATAAATTACACGATAGAATTAGAAGGCAAAACAACAAAGGTTAGTTTTATAAAGGCAAAAGGTCTTTAAACAGATCACTTATCATTGATTGCAAAACATTAATTAATGGAATTTTGCACAGTAGAATTGTTTTAGGAACATTGAATCATGTCAATATGAAGGAAGCTTTGTGAAAATCTGAATATACATTCTTCATAAGATAAACTTGCAGTTATTGAAAAATGTTTCCCTTGTTGAACTTTTTTTTAAAATTTTTTTTTATACTATTTTGAGAAAACTTTGTATCAGCTATTTACACTTATATTTTGCAGTGTTACTTTGAAAATTGCCTATTAAATTGCTCACAGGTGCAGAAGTTACCTAATTTTTTTCACACTATTTTTAGCAGTGGAAGTAGTAACTACATCTCCATTTTCTTTAAATATGTTATCACTTTCAAAACAGCATTTTGTCTTAAGAAGCAATTACTTCTTCCAAAAAAATATACGAAGTGGATTCTATTCATTGAGGATTCTAAATAAAAATTTCTTAAAGACAGCCAGTGTATACATTTCATGTTTCAAAATTGTTCTTATTGCAGTATTATGCAGTTGTAGGAAGTGTGTAAATTTTTCTTTCCTTTTAGAACCCTAAGGTAATAATATCAACAATGTGTCCATTCACATTTATTCATAAAGACACTGACCCTTTTTCAGCTACTACATTTTAAGAAGTGACAGGTTCACATCATAATTTGCAAATCTGAATTTTCTTTTTCTGAGTCTTTAAGCCTATCATTACTGGTGCATTGTCGACCCCAAGTGCAATTTCTTTTAAAGTTTTATTAATTAGCAGTATTAAAGCCTGTCAAATCTCCTTCTAAACTGGTGACAAGTACACCAAACTAAATTTCTGAAGACTGGATTTAAAAAAAAAAAAAAAAAGAAAAGAAACAATAACTGGACACAGTTTTGCATCTGTATTAATGTAGAGACACATAATAGAGCTGTTTTAATGCAATCAGTACCTGAAGATTTATTTTTACAGCCATTTCTTTAACCCTTTCGCGACGGCGCACCTTTGTTTAAGACGCTCGTACGGGACGGAAGGGAATTGAAGACAGTCACTGTACAGGATGGAGGTTTTGCATCGCTAAGCCTAATTTTATAAAAAAAAAATTAGAAAAAAAAAAAAAAAAAAAAAAGAGTTTTGCTTCTAGCATCATAATTTTGACATCATTTTAGATTATTATTTGAGCTCTTATATATGTGAAATTAACACCCAATAACTTTTTTCTTTATTTTACATGAAAATATTATTAAAAAATTGCTTATCTTATAAAATAATTTTTGGAAGTGCTATTCAAATTATTCCAAAGTTTTAATTGATAAAATCCATCAATACAGTTTTAAATTGATAGAACAATACAATAAAGACTATTTACAGTAAGAAGTAACAAATTTAAATGAAGACTGAGTGTGGTAAATCTCGAAGCACAGAGAAGTATCACTTTCTAACTCTTAGAAAAAGTATCACTTTCTAACTCTTTAGAAAATGAATCATCACTCTCATCTGCGTTAATAAATGGTTCATTGACCATATGAGGGTATTCTTCCTCTGATAAATAGTGCCTTTTCGCCATAATAGACTGGAGGTGAGGCTTTCCGAAATAAAAAGAGAAGAACCAGAAATATATCTGAAGGGCAATGCAAAACGTAACAGTACTCCACATACTAACCCTAAAAGCCCGTACATAGTAAAGGAAAAAATAGAATAAAAAAGGAATTGGATATAAATCAGACACGCGAATGTTTTTTTTATTAGCACACAGCGATTTAAAGAGCTCACATCTGTTTACACTTTCCCTCCGCCCCCACCCTCGCAAGAGCTGATGAGTAAAATACCAAAGTCAAGTAGAATATATCAAACTCAAGGTCAGGAACCTAAAACTGTGTTCATTTCAAAAGCAATAGACATAGGATGCCAACTAGTAGTCTTCAGAAAAACGTTCTAGCTTAAAATGCGTATACGCATCACCTGTCTTCTGAATGCAATCTCTAGTGATGCGTAGATGGGACACCTGGCTGTAAGACATGTTTTTAGGGAATGCGTATATGGGATGCCCGTCCTGAAAGGGTTAACAATTGCATTTATTTTTGTCCTTGTACTTGAGTATTTCTTAGTGATTTAGCAATCCGGAAATATTTTTCTAAAATAAAGCTGCAGCATGATCCAATGCATTCAGTGGCAGGTTGCACTCCAGCATAAAGGCAGAGAACAAGCATAATTATATTAATAACATTTTAGCCCTTTATTTCCACAGAAAAATTAATTTTTTTGCTTTTTTTTTTTTTTTTTTTCCAATACAACTCGTGTTGCTCTTGTGTTTTTGCGAATGCATATGTTTAAGAACATTGGCCATTTCCACAGCACGAAACTGAAGATTGCAATAACAAATGGTACACTTTGCAAATATATTACATTTCCTTGATGAAATAATAGGAGAAAGTCATGTGCATATGATTTTTTAAAAGTATACAAGCATTTTACCTTTTTCACGGACATAACTATTTCTTAAGCTATTTCTTGCACTAAGACGAATAAAATAACCACCTCAACCTTTGTGCTCATTGACTAATATATGACGCTTGATGTGATATTAAATAACTGGAACAGGACATTTTCAGACATGTGCTCTCACTTACAAAGCAGAAGTGCACCATAAGTCTCACTGATGAAACTGTTTTCTTTTATATGTAACCTAGAGAAAACCAAGAGCTTTCAGGCATCCAAAATCACATTTTTTGGGTGTAAATAGAAATAAATTAAGCCAAGCTACATAAAAATCATAAGAAATACTAAGAATAAGAAAAAGCCAGGAGAATTATGTTGTAAATCATGTTAGCAGGAGTACGGTTGAAAATACAGAATCTCCTGCTTAATCCGAAGAGTAGGCAACTCTGTAACTGTATTGCCATATATCATGAAATTTATTGAGGCACACAATTTTTTTAAAAACCTTACTGACTCTTTTGAAGCTGTCAAGACGGCATAGTAGTTGGTGACAGCGGCTGCCAGACAGATCTGCCCAGATTAAATCCCACAGAAAGCATGAATGTTTGTAAATGTCTATGGCAGGTACTGTACTTGCACAACATATGGTGAAATTCTGGTGTTTTGTCACTTATAATTGTACCTTAACTCTTTTAGATCATCTTGTTTATGCAAATAGGAAATATTCTAATTTTTGTTTCAGAAAAAAACATATACTTACCCCTTAAAAGAGTAGCTAAATCATACAATGTTGTATCATCATCATTACCAGTCCATCGTTTCAAATGCAAAGCATTTCTGGGTTGCAGTTTAAATGATTTCTCATTCCAGTCCACAAATATTACTTTAGATAAATCCCTGTTTAAGCATGATAGATCCTATAAAATAAAGTTTTCTTTAATGGAAACAAATGCAAAGGATAAAAAATAAGGCAAAATGTTAAATAAATATTTGTTATTATTTATTACTTTGCTATCATTTACATTTGATGTTTGAACTGCATTATTTACGTATGGCCTCCTATTATATATACATACACTAGATTTTTTAAAGAAACATTTGTGACAATTTGAAAAACTCGCATATGAATAGCCTAGGAACATACAAAAGTTGATTTAAAAGTTGATAATGTGGCCATTATGAATAGGTAAAATATACATAAAAAACTAATCCATTTCATCAATTACTACCATTACACCAAACAGACCCAAAGTTATAACATAAAATTTCCCTTTCTTTACGTCTAGTATTAATAGCAAAGTATATTTAAAATATGCAGTGTTTTATATTACTTATAATAATGATGATGCAAGTAAAGGTAAACAAATAATTCATTTTATAAATGCAGAACAAAAATTTAAGTACCAACAAATACATTAAAGAACTAAAAATAGTCTTTGGTACTTCTTTGTTATATAAGCCCCTAATCTTTTAGATCTGTGCCTATATAAGCCCCTAATCTTTTAGATCTGTGCCAAGATCTCAGCTATAATTTTGAAAGCTTTCTCAGCTCATGAAGTGAGAATAAACAAATAAATAAGAGTAAAAATAAACAACACAATGTATACACATGTCATTTCCTAAGAATATTTTTAGGAATCTTTTTCTTATACTTATTATTATTATTTTATGACATGCAATTATTCCAGTTAATTGCAGCATTTTCATGCATATTAAGTTGTTTGTTACATCATTTCATGGACGTCAACTTCTCTAGCTAAGAATACATAAATTGAATAGCAATGATGAACAAATTCTAGAACTGCTGAACCAATTTCCAACAAGGAGGCCCTTCTTCTTTTTGTAATTTTTAACATTGCACCTCCAAACAGTTTCATCTTTAATGTACAGTTTCATTATGTGGCCATTTTTGCATACTCGTTTTCGTTTGTCAGATAAAAGACCTCCTTCTTGAAAAAATTATATCACATCGATCTCATTACTTGATAAATTAAAAGATTATTAACATCATATTCGCAAAAAAAGCAACAAATATATTTTTTAATGAACAATGTGAATTTTAAAACATCATGCTAGTGAAAAACTTGGCTGGCAGTAGTTAAATTTCTGGGAAGTAAAAACTTAGACATAGATTTCAATAGTACAGCAGGTCCCTTTCTATACCTAATGTTTTCAATATTTCATTCTATACTCGCATTAAATTCAACACTTGAAAAGGTAAGTATATTTCAAGGAAAGTGGGTTTAGTGCTCAGACATTCTTTGTGTGAACAAGATCTCTTATATTAATTTAGAAATCAAACAATGACACAAAAAAAAAAAAAAAAAAAATCTGAAAGGTTTCAGATTTTAAATTAAGTCCAAAGGGGCATTTTTTTTAATGCTTTGTGTGTTACCTTTATTTAGCTTACATGTTCTTTGCAATTAAACCATAAATTTCAGTTCAATAGCAATGTCGCAAAATAATTTTTAAATGAGACTATCTTTAGAATTTCCGATACACAGTTCCGCGCACTGGAGATAAAGGTCCCCCCCTGGTAGATTGTTGCCATTGCTTGCTTTTAAATCGTTGAGTTTGTTACTCAAAAATTCGTTAAAGTTTTACAAAATATAAAATCGATAATAAATCAAATTCCAAATTTCAAATCAAATTAGGATTACGTCATTCAAAATTCGATGGCTCTATGTACCGTTGCTTTATCACAATGCATATATATATATACACACACATACATTTATGCATATATGTCATAATAAAAGCAAAGGAAAAGACAGAACACTGCAGATACGTGATTAGACCCATATTGAAGAAGATTTTGATTGCGTAGTATGCTAGTGATGCTAACTTGATAATATCTAAAGAACTTGGCAGTCGAGACAGTTTTAATTCCATTTTTATTTGCACTTGATATTTGTGGCCACAATCACTTGGCAATCTAGTCGTGTCTTTCCACGGAAGATTTACATTTTTGATATTGTTAAGATAGAAAGCAAGCCAGTGAAATTACATCTTAGCACAGTAGAGAGCAAAAGCTGAAGTGTGTAGTTATGAAGGATGGAAGCACGGCGAAGAGAAAAGTTTTGGTTTACAATGGCAGTTTCAGTTCTTAAATATTACGTCATCAGAGTTGCGCGGGCCATAGAGTGATCTAGAAATGATGCAATACAGAGAAATATTACGATTTTAGAATAGAAAGGAAGAATTAATGTTTATAGTTATATTATAATTCTGATTCATATAATTTTATCTTACATATTCCCCCTTCAAAAAGAAAAAGGCGTAGTGACAGAGAAGCCTTTTTAAAGAGAGTTAAAACACTAGCAAATGTTAAAAAAAAAAAAAAAAAAAAAAAAAAAAAAATTTGTCCTGTAAAGTATAATTTATATATCAATTTTTTTAATTAATTTTTAATTTTTAGAGTCCTATTGAATTTTTCAGCACTTCAGTCCAAAGTCTTTTTGTTTGAGAGTTCACATAATCAATTCTTCAGGGAAGGTTCTTGTTATTACAGAATATCACAAAATCAACTTTTACATAATCATTACTTATAACTAAATGTAGCACACATAAATATTTATGATACATTAATTTTCATATACTGATAAATTATATTTTAACACTGTACCATATAATAGATAGGAACAATCTTCAGAAATTATGGTTTCACCGTTATTATCTTTCAGTTACAATTCCTGTATTTTACCAACTGGAAGGCCTCGCAATACTTCTAAACAAACCATATCCATCAATAGGGCTGTCCTCTTGAGCTAACTAGTGTGTTCTATGCACTGGTGGCCCAGGGTGCCTAGGCAGTTATTTGAAAAGGCCTCCGTTCCTTGCCCATTTTGAAGTACGACGTCATCTTAGGAAAGTAAGCGGCAGCAGCATGGATGAAAAGCGTCTTACCAGCAAGAGAGCTAACGCAGAAAGAAAAGGGCAGAGTATCATAGAACTTCAGAGGAAGAAGGGTGGGAGTCGTAAAAGTTTCAGTTCACAGTTCTGGTTTACAATTAATTTGATTGGACAAGAGGCATCTGCATTAAAACATTACATAAGATAGAAAAGTCTGGAACCTGTGAAAAGAGATGAATTTAGGGGCAGATTACCAAATTTAGAATGTTAATTTTGAGGTCGTCAATTATTTTTTGGAAACAGCTATCATATTTTGTTATATCTTACATAGATACATGCATTTATGCAGATATATTAGATATGTATATACAGATGCATATATACATACATTCATACAGAGATATTATAGAGAAATATACATACATTTATGCAGATTTTTCATTATTCAATTTCTTCAAATATAATGCAGGACTCTAACATTTGGTGGCAACAGTTTGAAAAGTGAAATGGACATTTATAGTGATTCAACGCAAATCACAAAGCGAAAATGATAGTCCTTCAGGGAAAAAGCCCCTCTGGACTAAAAATCAGCATTATATTAGCAAATTTTCACAGGACTAGTTTCAATGGTTTTGCCGAACCATCATCCTCAGCTGCCAAAGCGCAAATGAACGAGATAAGGTAAGATAAGAATGCCTGGACAATAGTCAAGCTACTGCCGCCATCTATTGATGAAACGAGAACTAAAACATAATTTCCTTGAAGGCTGAAGGAAAAGATGGGATTGGAATTAGGATCGTTAACAAGAACAGAAAGATTTTTTTTGAATGTGAAATGCCTTTAGAAAATCTAATTCATGATTGGAAGATGTTTTCTGATTAATTATAGCTCTAGAAAAATTGAAAGTGTGATTTTCAGACCAACAATGCTGGGCAACAGAGGACTTCTGTGTTTCTTTTTTCAAACATATACCTCATGTTTCTTAAAGCAAAATTTTAAAGCAATCTTAATTTGGCCAATGTAAATTAAATCACACTGGCAAGGAGGGTTCTTGAGTATGGAACTCTGAATTTTTTTTATTTTTCATAAATTTTTTTATCTTAAATCAGTTTTAATTACAGGGTTGGCACTCGAACAGGAGAAAGAAATACCCTGACTTTTCCAGGTGTGTTTCAAGAAAATTGCAGGCTACCTGCGTAGTGCGCGTTGGCTGTGCTAAGCGTAAATTAGTACAGTCAAAAGTCGTTAATTCAGACACCCATAATCCGGACCTCAAAGCTACAAACTTTCTGCGCATGTGTCGCGTTGGCGCGTGCGAATAAGACCTTCATGGCTGCAAATATGCGTGTGCGCAAGCACATAATACGTTTACGAATGCGTGTTTAATGTATAACGGATGGTATAAGCTAACCTAAATTATCTAATTCAATTAATGTTGCAGATTGCGTTGTTCCTTAATCTTCGAATTGGATCCGGCTTATTATTTTTTGCAGACTGTTAAAGCAATTTTATAAAAGTAAGCTTGAACTTTCGATTATGTCAAATAGAATTTCCGATATATATTTACTAATATGTAAAGGATCTACAAAGCAAAAGTATGTTTTGAAATCCGAAATCTGTTTATCAATTTCACGCTGCTCTGCAGCAAGGGGGGGGGAGAAAAGCTGCGGTGCACAGCGAATTGGAAGTTGATCTGTCAGCACTATCCTTATCTTCAGGCCAGATGTTTCTATTTTATTTGGCTTATAATTCCTTACTAAATGTAGTATTTCATCTCGATGTACTCCGTCTTTGATATGATTTAAATCAAGTTCCTCGTCATTATAATTCGCTTCCGATAGTGAAGAAAGTGACACAGAGGTTATTGAAAACGAAAAAATTTCGATTGACAAATTAGTCGGTATTCTCGACACAGCAATTATAGGACTTGAACAGCGGAACTTTGTAACTAAACAAGAAATTATGTCTGTTTAATAGAATTAAAGAGAAAGTATTATCACATGAAACGAAGCAACTTAAACAACTTACATTGAAAGAAATGTTTAATAAAGTAAACAAATAAATATTAAGCTTTTCTTTTTGTAAATTTTGATATCCTTTAGATCATAATTGTTCTTCATTTCATAAATTGCGGTTTCATATTTTTAATTTTGTAATTTCTGCATGCCATCTTACCAGATTTTAACTGATGATCTATAATCCGGAAAAATCAATAATCCGGATCGCCGAAGTCCCGACAAGTCCGGATTAACGACTTTTGACTGTACCACATGAAAACACAAAAATTTTCCAATTACATATGCCTTTATATATGCATATATATATGTATGCATATAATCCCTAAAGCATTACTTCTATAACTATAATAGGAGTTGTTTTTGCCCCTGAGAACTGATATTAGAATCTGCCCAATCAGGGTTTAAATATGTCTTTTCTGCAAACATTTTGCAGCTAAAGGAAGAAAGAAATATATTTAATGACTCTTAAAAATTAATTCAAGCATTTTACATTTATTTAGCAGCATACATGAGTAAAAAATATGTGCACTAAATTTCATGATGGTATGCCATCATATTGCTAGAATTAGTTTCGCAAGTATACCAGAGAAAATTGTCTGAAACTTGAAAGTATTATTAACTAATAATAAATATATTTAGATGGAAGAAAACACATTAAATAATAAGAATAACATTAAAATAAAGTCTACTACTTAAGGATTAAAAACTGAATTTAAAAAATTGACAATATTTTGGCAAATATATATGTATTAAATGGTTAGCCTAATGGTTAGTGACTGATTACTGTTTTACTGCAAAATGATAAATATGGCATTCAAGAAAGAAGAAAAGGTTTAAAAGATTTTGTTTTATATGAAAATGGGAGAAATTTACTTTTGTTGAAAATGAAGTGCATATATGCGTGTGAATCTCTAGATTCTCAAGGTTTCTGGAAACCAAAGATGCTGGAAACTTGCTTTGCCTTTAGCCTAAGTGACTGATTATTGTTTTACTGCAAAATGATAAATAAGGCATTCAAGAAAGAAGAAAAGGTTTAAAAGATTTTGTTTTATATGAAAAAGGGAGAAATTGACTTTCGTTGAAAATGAAAGGCATATATGCGTGTGAATCTCTAGGTTCTCAAGGTTACTGGAAACTTTCTTTGCCTTTCTAAAAGACAATCTGATTGGCGCTGCAAAAAGTGGCTCTATGCCAGCTATCCTAATGACATTCAAGCGATACATGATTCGCCAAAAAAGTTAACACTTCATATGGCACAAAAATCACTTTTTTAGAAATCGCAGTGTGAAATTCCCTGACTTTTCCCAGTTTTCCAGGTACCATAGCAACAATGTAATTAGAATTGCAACTCCTTAAGCTAAATTATGCCATTAGTCTATTTAACATGGGCATTTTCTTTTACATACAAGCTTTTTCAAAGCCTAATTTGGTTCTCCATTTACTGTGCAGTTCACCAAATTTAGAATTCAATACCAACACATGATTTCACTTCTACTTCAGGTACTTTTTAAAAAAAAAAGCTATGGATTTCTACTACCTTAGCACAGAGTTTTTTTTTTTTTTTTTTTTTTTTTTTTGTCATGTAGTAGATCACTGACAGATAATGATGATAATATAAAAACATTTTACATTTAACATGTCTCTAAGTATTTCATTTGTCAAATGCATTACATGCACATTTTTTATAAAAATGATTTCCACTACTCTACTGTACAACTATTAAAGCATTTTCATCAAGTATTCAACACTGGAACCATACACTACAACATGTTAATGATAATTCTGCAATTAGCACAAACACAGAATGCTTTTATTCAGCTTACTTTTACATGGTGTCCATCCATGTACCTTGTTGCATCTCGGAATAGTCTATACATAATATAGCCATTAGGATCCAAAGAGTCAATGATTGGGAAAGCAGTCTAAAAAGGAAGAAAAATAATGACATAAGCATAATAGCTGACATATTCTGAGACTGAAAATATATGTTTCTAAGATATTAAAAAAAAAAGAAAAGCATACTCTCTGATTATTTGCATTTCCTAACACACTATGTTGCCAAAATAGGGAACCTATGATTCTGAAAAAATATATTTATGTGGAACCCCAAGTACGCACACACGCAGTAGACAAGCCAAACCTGACGGCGATTAGTGTTATTTTCTTGGGGGGGGGGGGGGGAGTTGCATTGAATAGTCATTAGTGTTTGATTTTGCTGCATTAACTGCATTTTTTTTTTTTTTTCTTTTAAGGAATTAAACTATGGAGTTTACCGGATGATGAAAAAGAAAGCATTTAATTATTTCATAAATATGGCCTAACAATAGAAAATGCAAAAATTCTCATTCTGTACTTCACAAACAATCAAATTTTATGGATCAAAATTTGTGTAATCATCTGATTTTGAAGCAAAAACAGATCACTGTGTACATGGTAAAACAACAATGTGTGCAATGCCAAATTTGTAATTATCTGATTTTTTAAAAAAGTGAAAACAGATCACTTATGTACATGAAGAGAATGAGAGTGTGAAAAGTGCCAAATTTGTGAATTCTCTGTTTTTTAAGTGAAAATATCTCACTGTACACATGGAGAGAATGACAGTGCGTGCAGTGCCAAGTTGTTTCACAATGTCAAGTTTCTACATTCTCTGATGTTTTTTGAAGCTAAAACAGATTGCTTTGTAATGGGCAGAACAGAAAGATGTAAAATAAAGGTGTTTTATTACAGATGATTGTGTTTTTAATTTTTTATGCTACTTGCTCCTTTATATAATCCTTAGTAAGCCACCATTTTTGAAAATGACTACTGTCTTTATGTGTTTCAGCTTGATGAAAAATTAATTGCCAATGAGTAAACTGACAGCAAAGTATATAGATATATATTTAAAAAACAAACTGTAATACAGCAAAACAGTACAGCTGGTATAACTATTCATTATTGATGTAAGTACTACAGTACAGAGTAATGGCACTCTAGTGCAATTCATTCAAAATATAACCATTTATCCACTTTAAGCAAATTCTGCTTTAAGAAACACATTTTAATTCTCCTTCAACTTTTTTACACTAAAAGTTAACAACAACAATAATCTAAGAAAATTAACAAAAGAAATCTGACATTAAAAATGGTTATTTAAAATTATTAAATGTTAAGTAAAAGTTAGCTAATGACACTGAAAAAAGAAATTAGAATTTTCACTAATAGAAAAATACAGTATTTGCATCAATCCTCCAAGCCACATGACTGCCTTTATTCCACCGTCAGGCATTATTGTTATTTAATATGTATTTAGTATACAAATGTGTCATTTTCTGATTTTCTTTATAGTGACTTAAGAAATATCATTTTAGTAAATGGAAGATTATGAAAACAGAACACAAAATATATAGCATTAAAATAATAATTAAAAAAAAAAAAGAAAAAAAAAAAAAAAAAGAAGAAGAAGAAGACAGCCTTCCTTTTTTCTTTTATAGAGCAAAGATGAAGAAGAATAAAATGATTGTTCTGCTTTCTGTTGTGAAAACACATTTAAAAAGTTTTTTTTTTTTTTTTTTTTTTTTTTTTTTCTCCAATGGAATATAAATGAATGTGATGAGAAATGAAATAGTGAAATATGAAAAAAAAAAAATTTTTTTTATTACCTACAGCACTAGCAAATGAAGTTAATATAAAAATGAAAAATATAGCATATGCAATTTCCATCCCCCCAACGGCAAGTCCAAACCCTTCACAGACATTGGCCAGTACTGAAGACAGAAGCGGTGGTCACTTTATTATGGTGGCACCTAATAGGCAGGCTACCTTTGCCTCCTTTGATGGGACAGACAAATATGCCCATGCCTTTTCCAGGATTCAAACCCGGGCCCTTTGGTATTGCAGTCACTTCCCCTAACCACCATACTATCTGGGAAGCATATGCAAATATATTTTCAAATGCAGCCGCAAAAAGGTGAAGTAAAACTTTCAAAAGTATAATTGCTTATTTTAATTTACTATGGTAGTTTTTGTTATATTTTCAAACCTAACAAATCAGCATTATTATCCATTTAAAGACAGCTGAAGTAAATATAATTTTATATTAACGTATTATACTTACGAAACCCTGTTCACTCGTATAAATGACAACTTCAAAAAGTGGAGGTCCCGCCTGTTGCAAAAAATAATCTACACCAGGTCTTTTTTTAAATCGCCAACCAGTTTGATACTACAAAATACAAAATCAGTGATAAATACAATAAGATTATGAATAAATACTTTAGAAAACTATTGTTACATTTTATATTCATATTTTACAGCAATTTAATATTTGTACATCACACGTTATCACAGAAATTAAATACGCGGGCAATCCCAAAAAAAAAGGTCTCCTATTTTTTGGGGACGTAGAGAAAGTTTTAATATGGTTGTTGGCAACACTGTTGTGAGTGGTGCCTTTTCCGCTACCACATAAGCACGCAGGCACTTGGCTCGGATGCTCAGTCTTGGCTTGGCAGCAATTCGAAATGGAGCTCCCGATAAACGTTACCGCCAGGTGCGAAGTGTGCGCAGTTATTCGATTTTGAACGCAAAAGGCGTTAAACCGGTTGAAATTCACCGCCTATTGACGGAAGTGTATGGACAGTCGTGCATGGATGTCAAAAACGTTCACAAGTGGTGTAGAGAGATTACAGCTGGTCGTACTGAAATTCATGATGAAGAAAGGAGCGGGAGGCCGTCAATTGCCGACGAGACAATCGCGAAAGTTGAGTGCGATTTTTGAGTTCATATTCGTTGAGTTTCGCGATTGTTGAGTTCGTAAAATGCGTAAAGATCGGAGGATCATCCGGATGCTCCTGAAGCTCCTCAACACTTCCTGAAGGGCATGGCGGCAAGCTGGTATGACATGGGCATTGTAAAACTGCCACAGCATCTACAAAAATGCATCGACCGAAATGGCGATTATGTTGAAAAATAAAGCATTCTTCAATCTTTAAAGTGATGTAGCAATTATAGAAAATAAACGGTTCTTTGTATATCTAAAAATATAGGAGACCTTTTTTTGGGGATTGCCCTCGTATCAAACAAAAGTCCATTCAAATGATCTTATAATTAAAGCTTACAGAAATTTTTATGATACATTAAATATGTACTTACTGACAGAACTTATAACAATTATTTACACTACTAAAATAACATACAGACTCAATTTTGACATATAATAATTACAGTAAAACTCAGTAGATAAAACTTATGTATTATCCCATTGACCATGAAACTGTTACCAAGTAGTACGATTTAATTCCAATTACAGATAAAGGTGAAGTAACAAAACACTTGTAACATTTATGCTTTACCCAACTGATTCTCAATGAGTTGTGAGTTGCTTTCTGTTTTTGAACAAGACTATAAACTAACTGTTGTTTCATTTTTTTCTTGCATTTTGAAAAAAATATATATATAAATTGTGGACCTGCCTTCTACAGAATAGGAAGTAGTAGATTATTTTCAAAGTTATGGGATCCTACTATCAAAAACAGTATACGTTAATGGGTACGATATGATTGATAAAACAGTAATAGATTGCAACAGTTACCCGCAAAAAGTTAGTTTTAACAGTTCTAAATAGAATTTCGAGAAAGTCAAACAGCCTAACAAAATAGCAGAAACCGATAAAAGCTCTTTTACGAAGCGCAAAAATGAAGCTGGTTGAAAACTAATTGTTTATTTCTTCATGTCTTGAAAGTGTGACTTATATTAGACTTATATATAGTACTATTCTAACATAGGTATTTTGACACAAAATCGGACTTTTTCTGAAATAACATACCAATTTTTTTACATATTTCGATTCTATGACTCAAATTATGCCTAAATATTAAATTTTTATAAAATTTGGTGGGAAATTTACAGAGAAATTCAAAAAATTTATGTTGCCCCTTTTTTTCAGTTCACGCTAAGAATAGCTCACTTATTGAACTTCTTAATATATGGCAACCTCTTTTCATTTCCCTTTTTACATCATGCATTAGCAGAAAAAAAGCCACAATCGTTCCTTCTTTCAAATAATGTTCTTTTTATTATATTTTAATTATAATTGTTATTATTTTAAATATTTTTTTTCTTTTTCGAATTTCATTTTAATTGTTTAAGTTGCATGGTTTCATTCAAATAACTGTTTTAAAAATTTCTATTGACTTATTCAAACTGCATAGTTTAAATAAAAGGTACATTGTTCATTTTTTCAAGTAGTTTTCTTTATACTATATTTTTAGTAATAGTTATTATTTTAGGAAATTTTTTAATTTTTAGACTTTTATTTTAATTGTTTGTGTTTGTCTCTTCAGATAACTGTTTTAAAATTTTCTATTTATTCATTCAAACTGAGCATTTTAAATATATTTGCATGCCAGTTGGTTTTCCTTAGAAAGTTCTTCACAAGAAAGTTCCTTTTAGGCAGATAGCCCTGCTTTGATATAATTTAATAATCCAATTCAATCCATTTCACCAGTATTTGGTCAGAGCCTTTATCAGTCTTTAGAGCATGAATGTCTTTATCAGTCTTTTAAGGCATGAAATGAAATGAAAGACTGGACAAGAGGAAAAACGTCTTTACATGATATCCATATACATTTTAGAGACATTAGGATTTTTTGGAAGCAAGAGACGAAAAATGAGCAATGCCTTTGCTGGGAATCGAACTACAGACCTCTCGAATTCGCGCCAAACATGCAGACCACTACACCACGAAGGCACTACTTCGCTAACAAGGCGGGAATAATACCTTGTAACATCACTGAATAAATTCTTTAATCTTCACATAATTCGACTGAGAAGTCATGGGAGGTTCCGTTTATGATACAATATGATGTTCTATGACGTAATTTAAATTTATACAACCATATAGTCGAAAATAAGTTGCACTTCAATTTAATCTGCAATGATATGGTTTTTGGCTTTTTCGTTAGTACTAACTCAATTTGCTGGTATGCAAGTGCAAGTGTTTTCTCTTCGAACACCCAATTTCCTTGAAGTAGATTCACTTTTAAATTTTTGCTCTCCCCCCATTTCCTTCTTTACTTCTACATTTGTTTTCAGTGCTGACACAAGGAAATTAAGATTTTTCAATTGCTACACTTCCATAAGTTTTGTATTCTTGTCAAATTTTTTAAAATATCTGTTGCATCAAATGCGTTTCAGCTGAAGAGAGCTTATCGTTTTCTAGAAATTTGAACTATAAATAAAGTTTAAAGGATAAGTCCAGGGATAAATATTTAAATTAAAAGATTTTTATCAAATGAGAAAGAAATAAACCACTCCAGCAGCGTTTATCTTGTACCAATGAGTGGCCCGATTCTTATATTGGATGCAAACAACCTAAATCATATTATTTATAGTTTTTAAGCCTAATAATTTCTATATTAAAGAACATGTTTTTTATATAATCTACAACATGAGAGAAAACTACTACTTAAAACATTCTTTCTAAGAGGATTAATGTAAAAATTGATATTTGTTTATACATTTTTAAAGCTGGGACATGATCCAAACTGTCGATGTCCTGTTTGCTTAAAAACATTGTGAAAATAAATATCAAACGAACTTAATCAGTTTTAGACAATTCAATTTAAATGAAGTTAAAGTAAAGTAGCACACGATAACATGGTGAAGGTAAAAATTTACTGTTACAAATATTAAAAAAAAAAAAAAAAAAAAAAAAGGAAAAAAAGAAAGAAATTTTTTTAAAAAAAGCTTAAATTTTGACTATCATAATCTGCAATTTTAAAAAAAATAGCTTTTCTTATAGTATTAATATTTATTACGCATCATTGAGGAAAAAATTTCATACAATTTATTCTCCACAAAAATTTATTTGAAATTTAAGGATAAAAATAGCTGCGGCAATTCACTGCAACAAAATTCATAAACAACATTTGGCTCAAAAAAAAAAAAAAAAAAAAAAAAAAAAAAAAAAAAAAAAAAAAAAAAAGATGCCAAATTTCAAAACGCAAAAAATATGTAAATTCATGTATATCTCAGAAAATTTTGAATAAAAAAACTCTAATTTTTGGCAGGTGTGCTTAGAAATACACCTACTTTAAGATGATTGTAAAAATTTTACAGGTTATGGTTCAAAATTTTTTTCGAAAAATTTATAAAAATTATTTTAAAATACATATTTTAAAAATAAATCATAAAAAAATAGACAAATTTTATTTGGAATGAACCTAAATTTCAAATTCTAGAAGAAGGAATCAAGTAAGTTTAATAATAATAAAAAAAGAGATTAATAAAGACATATCAAATTCAATTAACACTGAGGAGCTTAAATTTTAAGAGCTAATTTTTTTAAAATTACTCATGCAATTTTTACGAAACTTGGTAGTCTGGCATACTTTGAGTCGTAGAATCGAAATATGTAAAAAAATCGGTATGTTATTCCAGGAAAAAATCAGATTTTGTGTCAAAATACCTATGTTAGAATAGTACTATATATAAATCTAATATATATCCTTAAGAACACAATTTGAATTTTGTCAATCAGCCCAGTAGAACGAGAGATAAAGAACTGTCCCATTTCTTTTTTTCTTCTTTTTTTTTCTGTGCAGTGTACATACGTTTCAAAATTGTTCTTATTTCAGTATTACTCAGCTGTTGGAATTGTTTCAGTTTTTCTTCTTTCAGAACTCTTTTCAAGATTATAATAAATATCAACAATATATTCATCCACACTAGTTGGTAAAGAAGGTGCCTCTTTTCAGTTGCTAAGCTTAAGAGGTGATAAGTGCATCTCATAATTTGCAAATCTGAATTTTGTTTTTAATATCTCTGGAACACCAATTTTTGAGCCTGCCATTACTGGTGCATTGTTGTCACCAAGTGCAGAGAAATTATCCAGAGAAACTGCATTTTCTTTTAAAGTTTTATTAATTAGCTGAGAAGTACTACAGGCCTGTCAAATATTCTTCTAAACTGGGGATAAAAAGTAAACTACACTAAAAATAATAATAATAATTGGATACAGTTTGACATCAGTATTATTGTCTCCATGTGTAGAGAGGCAGAATCGAGCTGTTTTAATGCAATCAATAACCAAAGAATTATTTTCCTTATCCATCTCTTTAACAGTTGTAGCCATTTCTTTCCTTACATTTATGTATTTCTTAGCGACTTCACTATCGGGAAATATTTTTTAAAATAAAGCTGCCACATGATCTGATGGATTCAGCAGCAGGTGCTCCAGTTAAAAAGAACAAGAAAAGAACAGGCATTCTGCATTAATAACTTTTTTATCCTTCGTTTGCACAGAAAAAAAAAAATATTTTCCATTATTTTCAATACAACTCACGTTAGGCTTGTGTTTTTGTGTAGGCACATGTTTACGAACAACATAAATATATGATACTTCTTTGACAAATAATAAAAGGAAAGCCATCTGTGTACAATTTTCGAAAAATACATGAGTATTTTACCTTTTTTCTCACAGACATAACTAAGATCGTAATTTCTTAACCTATTTCTCAAAAGCATGTGAAACACACAGTGCTCAGCCAAATAAACTATGTTCTTTAGCTCAGCGGCAAGACTAATCAAATAACAACCTCTGTCTTGCTTTATGCTCATTGGTTAACATATGCCACATGACCCCAAGCAGCACTTAATGCTCACTGGAAAACTAGAACACAATGTTTTACTAGAACACAAGACACAGGCTCTCACACACAAAGCAGAAGCATGCCATAATGTCTCATTGATGAAATGTTTTCTTTTATATGCAATGCAGAGAAAAAACAAGCACATAACAAGTAAGTACGCCACGCTACATAAAATCATGAGACATTTTAAGAATAAGAAAGTCAGGAGAATATATTATAAATCAGGTTGATGGGAGTAAGGTCCAAATTCAGGAGTCTCCCACCTGAATCGAGAGAGTTGGCAACACTGCTTGTTATAAATCCTGATACTTAATTACAATACTTACAGTCCAATCAGGATGAACTAAAACTCCTGTGAGCTCCAAAGCTAGAGTGTATGGAGGTTGGTAATAAGGCTCTGTCAGAGGCTCTGGTAAAAGTTTCTCCCTAGAAGGTTCTTTAATGAGCTAAACAAAGAAAAGGATTTCCAATCAAAAAATCATCTTTATATTTTCATTTAACAAACAACACGCATATAAAAATATTAACATTAAATATCACTGGTGAAATTCTTTCCAACTGCAAGAACTGCTTCACCCCACTCAATAGTCAATAGTACAGTCAAAAGTCGTTAATTCGTACACCCATAATCCGGAATGATCTATAATTCGACCTCAAACCTACAAACTTTCTGCGCATGCGTCTTTACGGCTGCGAATATGCGTGTGCGCAAGTGCATAATACGTTTACGCATGCGCGTGGACAGTATAAGCTAAACTAAAATTATCTAATTTAGTTAATGTTGCAGATTGCGTCGTTCCTTAATCTTCGAATTGGATCCGGCTTATTATTTTTTGCAGGCTGTTAGAGCAATTTTATAAAAGTAAGCTTGAACTTTTGATTATGTCAAATAGAATTTCCGATATATATTTACTAATATGTAAAGGATCTACAAAGCGAAAGTATGTTTTGAAATCCGAAATCTCTTTATCAATTTCACGCTGCTCTGCGGCAAGGGGGGGAGGGGAAGGGCTTGGCGCGCAATGAATTGGAAGTTGATCTGTCAGTACTATCCTTATCTTCAGGGCAGATGTTTTTATTTTATTTGGCTTATAATTCCTTACTAAATGTAGTATTTCATCTCGATGTACTCCGTCTTTGATATGATTTAAATCAAGTTCCTCGTCATTATAATTCGCTTCCGATAGTGAAGAAAGTGACACAGAGGTTATTGAAAACGAAAAAATTTCGATTGACAAATTAGTCGGTATTCTCGACACAGCAATTATAGGACTTGAACAGCGGAACTTTGTAACTAAACAAGAAATTATGTCTGTTTAATAGAATTAAAGAGAAAGTATTATCACATGAAACGAAGCAACTTAAACAACTTACATTGAAAGAAATGTTTAATAAAGTAAACAAATAAATATTAAGCTTTTTCTTTTTGTAAATTTTGATACCCTTTAGATCATAATTCTTCTTTATTTCATAAATTACGGTTTCATATTTTTAATTTTGTAATTTCTGCATGCCATCTTACCAGATTTAAACTGATGATCTATAATCCGGAAAAATCGATAATTCGGAATTGCCGAAGTCCCGACGGGTCCGGATTAACGACTTTTGACTGTATTAGACCAAAAGAAATAAGGATAATTATTATGAGCTACTGTTTTGTGGCTGTCTCTTTAGATAATCACTATAGAAGAACAGGAAGAATTTGACAATTTATTGAAAAATAATACAGCACAGAGCAAAAAATAGTAATTATAAACAGGTAAAAAAAATTTAAATATTAAGCAAATCCTCCTCAGCACATGAAAAATATTATGAATTATTAATATTGTTCTCAGAGTAAATTCAAAATACGATCCAGCTCGAACCACAGCCTTTCAGACCTGAATAACTGATTCTTCCTGGCTTTCAGAGACATATTTATAAAGCATTGCACAGGCTTCGGGGAAAAAAATAATCTTAGGCTTTATAAGTGCATTTTCCCAAAACTTTCAGATAAGCCCAAAGTTGACAAAAATCAACCAAATATTGCTAAGGCTCCATCAGAAGCATTTTGGTCTATATTTTACACACTAGTTGAGCTATTTTAATAATTAAACTTTTATTGACTTCAGAACTGAAAGATTTATAATCCTATACAAGAAATAAAGGTATTTTGGTACCATCGCAACCACCTTGGCGCAATTTTCTGAAGAAGAAATAGAATGGTATCAAATCAGATAAAGTTATTTCATATCATACATGTTATTAAGTACATATTTTAATTTTAGTTTGACATTTAATCCAGAAAACAATTTATAAAACTACTTAAAAATGATATCTCCTGCATGTAATTATTTCAGTATACCAGTCTTACCACCCTCTTCTAACTCTTACAAGCAAAATTTAACACTCATTATTCTTTACTCCAACAAATACATAAATTTGACTGCTGTAGTAAATGGCAGACATTATTCTCAAATAAATTACCATTTTGAATGCTGACATGCCTGTCGCACTTTTTCCCGTTGCATTTCCAAAATATATCATCACCAAATGTGAAACTGAATGTTCCTGCCTTTGTGGCAAATTATTACATTCGTGCAAAAATTTTACAGAACTTTCTTCATTTGCAGCCTAATCCCTCAAGCGTATATTTCAAAATTCAGCTGAAAGACAAAAATATCACAGTTTGCTTTTAGAGCTTCTAATACAAACAAAACAGCATGTAAAAATTGGTGACGTTGCTTACTCAAACTTAGAGTTAATGAATATGATTACTTGAAGAACTGTTATGCCCATGGTTGCCGCAGGTTGGGGACTCTGTGAAAATTTGGTAACTTCTACCAAGGTGGTTGTAATAATACCAAGGTACTGAAATAAACACTTATATCCAAAATATATGGTTACAAGTTGAATTAAATTCAAAATAAATCCCAAAGCTATCACCCTAAATGCAAACATTAAACAAATAATATGTCATATCATAGCAATACACACACACACATGCCAAAAAATTGCAACCAGATAGACAAAAATGGCTTATAAAGAAATCGAGATATTTATAAGAATCGATTAAACCTCACCTATTAAATGTTAAGGTATTTTAAGTCTATTACATAATTTTTTCATTTTCACATCTGCCTTATATAAACATTTAACTTTTTATGTTACAATCAGCAACTGATTGCATATATTCTAGAGATTGAGATATTATTGAAGAATTCTACAGAGTGAGGTTACTACAAATAATTTTTGATATCCTTGGTCAGAATTTTCAAGAGTTCTTCCATGCTTAAAATAAATGTCAAATTCAATTGAATGACTCTATGATATAATCATACGACCATTCTATGACCATAACGAATCATTCTATGATATAATCATACGACCACTGGTTCATCAGTCTACTACAAATTACTCACAATGAATAATGGCAGCATACGAACACAACATGTTTTCTTATTATCGATATTCAGAATTTCAGTCGGTACCATTCTGTTATCAGGGAACCAGATCCAAGAATATGTATGTATGCATGTGTTCATGTATATAAGCAAGCACGAATGTATGTGTGTATATACGTATACATATATATATGCACATACATACATTCATACATTTCTGAATCCCGTCCTGATAACAGAACAGTAACTTTCAGTTTATGCTATAATACAAATACAGAATGGCTGAAATAAAAAGCAATGATTTTTTAATCTACTACAGAAATCACATACCAGATCATGGCTTACATTATAAGCAATTTAAAATAAAATGTACAATTGTAGATTTCTTTATATGGCATAGTTAGTCATATTCTACTTAATATTACAATTATAAACAACAATGCAATATTTTATATAAAAGGTTTCTTTAAAAAAATGCTTACCTTATTATAATACATCATCTCATTATATGTCCTATATAGATAAGCTTTAGGTTTTGACACTGTAAAATATGACAATTATAGTAAAATAAGATTCAAATTTAAATAACAGTTTAAAATATTAAAAGTAATAAGTTAAACTTACTATGATTATATTCATCTTCAACCTATAAATAAATAAAAATAAGATTATGAAATAAACATAACATTTTTCTCATTATTTCACAACACATATTATTGAATTTAGATAACCTTATATGTATCAATTTTACTGCAGAAATTGCTTTTCACTCAAAATTAATTTAGCTAAAATGCTTAAACGGAATGAGTTCTTTAAATCTCTGCATTGGTTCTTAATCCCTTCTATTCACGGAAATGTTTGGCCTGACTTGAATTGCCGGTTTGGCATCGCCTTATTGCTCGAGTAAAGGACAAAACACCTTCATATTTATTTCTTAATTATTGTTCATTGAACGGGAGTTGGTTTCTTCCCCTTGAAAAGTCAACTAATTTACGATCAATGACAATGATTACTTGCATTTAATTTTATTCTTGCTTTTAATTTATTCCTTTTACAATTAAAATTTTGTTATTCATGATTTAATTCGAGTCCCCGTTAAGCATTTTTAACAATTTACATTCAAGTTACTTCCAAACATCTTTCGAAATAGAACTTACTAAGTATGGCTTCATTCTTTTCAGATAATTCTACTATAATTAATCTTAGGAGATAATATAATCAATATTATTTAGTAAATAAATTATTATTAACTTACTTTGCAGCAATTGCGCCAAGTAGTAGAATAACTTGATTTCGCACTAAGTGAATTTAAGATTGTGTGTGTGTGTGTGTGTGTACCTCCCGAGTTCTTTAAAGAAAAGGAGAAGGGCATTATAACAGTCAGTCATAAAAAGATATAATGTAAATGCATTTTCCCCAAAGAAAAGTATACATCTGCTTTTAGATGTCATGCTATTATTTTCGATCCTTAAAACATAAACTTTAGCTATTAAATATCACCATTATATATGGAAGGTTTTTAAAAAAATTAATACTGCTATTTATTAACGAATACAAATATATTTAAATTTAATCAATTAATTACACGCTGTAAGATATTTCTAAAATTTAAAAATGTGTACTACATGCTATGGTGTGTTGTATTACTAAATAAAATATTGCAAAATATGTTGTACATTAAAATACTCTTTCTTATACATATGAAAGTAAGAGAATCTAACAATTAAGACTAATCCGCACAAAAGAAATGTAGAAAACAGGTTCCGTATTGTGATTAAAAGAGAAGCAATTGTGTGCTCAGGACACAAGATCCCTTCCCTGGTCATCCAATACAGCAGAACATCATCACTACATTGTAACTTAGGATCAAGCTATGGATAGATGAGCAAGAACTGCTTCTTCTTAGTATCTGTTTTACAAACAGGACATTGGCTATTCATCAATATGGCTATTCTGTTGAGATGTTCAGCTAAGCAATCATGCCTCGTATCCAGTCAGAAGTAAGCCAAAGCTTCTCTACAACGCATATAACTGAATTCATTTCAATCATTCCTGATATTCTCCCAGAGTTTACCCTTCAATTTAATAGATAGTTCTGTGTTGTAAGCTGACATCAGATTCGCTCGAATACTTCTTCTAAGGGAATCCAAAAGAATGAAATTCTGTTCCATATATGACTTCGTACCCCTCTTTGCTTTTTCATTACCATCAATATCTAAATGGGATGGTATCTGCTGAAATTCTAGAGATTTACCATTCCTATTTAGTTCCCTGATATCTCGTTTCATTTTTGACACAAGAGGAGGCCCAAAGCAGTGTTAAAAGAGCAACTGCCTGTACAGCGGATTCAGAATCAACATGAATGATGACCTTTGTAAAAACTCAATTCTAGATTTCATATTAGACACAGCGAAAAAGACCACGAGAACTTCTGCATCAAAGTTAGAAAATGGTGACACACAGGGACATACTGTGAAAACAGTTTATAATATACAGCTGCACCAGCAGCATTATTCATTCTAGAGCCATCTGTAAATGCACATATCTGTTCCGGTTCAGGATAGTTATTGTCCAATAGTGACAGGGCATTTGTTTTTAGAATAATATCTAGTGTGTCTTTTTTCCTATTTTCATCCACTTTGTGAAATTTTTGTCTTAATTTATTGGTATTGTAAAGACTTAAATTTTAGTGTTGTAATTTTTAAGCTTTGGTGATGTCAAAATTGACATTCAATGGTCAACGGTCAATTTTGACATAGACCATTGAATGGCATTGACCATTGACCAAATTCAATGGTCAATTTTGACATTAATTATCAATGTTTTGTTTTTGGGAAGTGGCCTGATATAAATGGATTTATTTCTGAATGAAGACTAAGAAACAACAACAGGTTCTATAATCGTACACCATAATATATTAGGTACTTTCTGATTATCCACAATCATAATTTCAACTTAGGAAGAATTGCCTTTGTAAATGTATAAATGGATATTTCTGGCATATTTCTGAGTATGCACCTAATAAAAACTACCTTAGACATGTGCATATCACACACGTGTTTGAGTGCATGTGGATTTACATGCTTTAAGTTGAACAGTTATTATGTTAACATTATTCACCAGCTGTGAAAATGTTACTTAAGAGCGTGTTTTTCACAAAGTCATAAGTTGCAGATTTTTTTGTGAGGGGGCAGATAATCAAAATGTGCCATGCACGACTTCAAGAAATGGCAGAAATGAAATAGCGTCCATTTTTGCAGCATTAAAAAACATACTAGTCATCTTCAAATGCTAGAAACATTACAGTTCTTGAACTCTGAAGCCATTATTGAGGTAAATAAGAATTTTATAGGCAAAGCTATAACAAAACTATAAAATTCAAGAGAAAGAGCTGGAATCAAATTTAACATAGAAGTTATGATAGAAGAATGGTCATAAAGACAGGGTATATTTAAAGAGTATGCAAATCTGAAGGTTCTCCTTTGACTTGAGAATATACGTAAGGTATTGCAATAATCCTTTCCATTTCTTTTAATTAGTTATTAAGCATTTTTTCCTCCTTTCAGCATGCATTTGTGGTGCAATTGGAAGCATATTCAGCGTGTATTCGAGAGATGCAGGTTCAAATACGAACAAGGACATTGCACATTTTTCCTGTTCTTACATCGAATAGTTTAATGACTCTAAAGTGGTACCTGAACTAAAAGGTGGTGGATAAAAATTCATCACTACCATGATTTGACAAATGGGTCCCCTAATCACCAGTCATCGTTTAAAAGGGGGAGTATATAAGGTATTTTTTTACTCTTTCCAGCATGCCATCGTGGTGTAACAGTAGCACACTCAGAGTTGTGTTTGAGAGGCCCAGGTTCGAGTCTTGGTGAAAGCATTGCTCATTTTTCATGTCTTCTGCTTTGAATAATCTAATGACTCTACACAGTTAGACCTCAAAGAAGCATATCAATGGATGACTAGTATGGAAAGCTAGACACTGTACTTTACGATGTTCCATAAAGCTTGCTATCAATTTGTGAGGATACATACCAACATAGCATTTTTATTTTTACTTCTTTGTTTTAGTTCCATTATCATGCACCACTGAAAACGTGGGCACAACTGCATTAATTTATCATTATAAAATGAATTCTAGTGCAATTAAAAAGCAAAACATTTAACTTTCAATATAACAGAGACACATAAAACTATTATATTAAGAATATTTGCACACTTACAGGGTTGCCATTTTCATCTCGAGGAGGAGCACCTATAAAAAATTTTGAAAAATAAATATTTTGCTCATAATTTTTAACTTGAATAAAGTACAGCTACCAGTGAGCAATAACATATAAATATGATATATATATATAAGAATATGGCCACATATTTACAAAATAAGATTTAAAGATTTAAATTGAATTTTGATGCTTGTGATTCCCAATGATGTCCTTAATGTATCTTTTTAACCTTTGAGTATTCTAACACTGCAGAAACAGAACCTAATTAGGAAGTGAAAAGTAAGTATGACCTCTAGCATATTAACTTAAAAAATTCACCATTTCTTATGGAAATATATAGAGTATGTATACAGCATGTACACAGTGTCCATACATGCATGTGCACAGCAACGAAAAAAAAAGGGATGGATGGAAGGAGAATTATGCAAACACTTTGTTTAATTACATGTTTTGAATGAAATGGCACGGAATACATTATTTTTCACATTCTGTAAAAATTACTGATGTTTTTGTCATCTAAATGTGTTTTGTCATCTACTGATGTTTTTGTCTTACTGATGTTATTGTCATCTAAAATTATGATAATAAATCAATTTTTATGGCGTAAAATTTTAACAAGATAATATATTGTTAATACTTTTCTAACAATAACCTTGCAGAGGATGGCAGGTGTGACATAAATAGATGATTAAATTGAAATAAAAAATATGATTGATTATCTAAGATGACAGAATAGTTTGATGCATAACCATGGTCATCAAAATTAGCAAACCACTGCTGGTGAGGAACATATTGTTCTTTGTGTTAACTGGAATTTAAGACAAATTGTTTTCGTTTATCACGTTTAACCGAGTAATTTCAGTACATTAATACTAATTTATATTTTTTATTTCCGATATAAATGCTTACATATTGTTTTCTGTGTTAACTTGAATTTAATACAAATTTATTTTCGTATATCACGTTTAACCGGTTAGTTTTACATCTACATGCTTATTATCTGTGAATTTTTACTACCATATGCTTAATATATTGTTTTGTCTGCTAACTTGAATTTACATGCACTAAAAATCACGTTTACGGCTCGGCTCATCGTCGATGAACCGCGAGCTTGGCGAGTAAAAATGCAACGCTGCCAATGGGTTAACGGGTTCTCTGCAGATGAAAACCCGCAAAAGGTTACCAGCGAGGATATTCCGTTTGGCATCGGTTGTACCATTATTGGTGACTTTATTGCCTGCGCCGGCAAAACGGAAAAGTACCAAGTATTTTCACTAAAATATCCTTTTAGACTCTAAAATGTCATTAAATAATCATTACAAAATAATGAGAATTGCATCTTTTCACATCTTACTGCAGACAAAAGAAGAGCAAAACTGGAATAGTTTTATGATTTGTAGATTTTTTTAAACCTTCATTTGAAAATTAAAATGAACTTATTAAATATATTACGAGTTTTTACACACACTTCTTCTCACCTGTTTTGAATATTTTACAAGTGTAGCGATCACATGATGGTATGCTTGCTTGGTGCTGCTTGGTAAGCAGTTGCTTGCTTATGTCGCCATCGATTAGCACTAATGAGAAGGGCAGCAACACACGAGTTCTGCATGCCCTTTAAGATGATGACCTTGGAATTCGATCCCTGGTCTGTTATGTGGCAGTCCAGTATTGCAAAAGAGCTCCCTGCACAACAGATTCTGATATTCGAACTACTTTGTAATGCAAGCATTTGATCAACCCTCGAGATCGCTACACAAATGTTAGGGATAATTTTGGAAAGAGTTCTCTATGAGAGTACGGCTGTAGTGCCATATACCTTGAAATACTTTAAAAAGGAAAATTGCAATAGTTAGAACATTTAAAAATTAAGCGTATAAGAAGATAAATGGCTCCCTATATGGTCTGTGAATCCATCTCATCAAAGAAGGAAATGCATTCTGTATTTTGTTTGCCCCCCAAAACAACAACAACAACAAAAAAGCTAATTATGTGCAAACATAATAAACTTAACAAATCTACAAGATTCTCTAAAAATCTTGAAATAATCTCTTTTTATAGCTTGGTTTTGCTTATTTGATTGTGGCAAAGCATGTGAGGGCTAACTGTCTAAGAAGGGTGCTTTCATGGAAGACTTTCTACGAGATACTTGATTGTATTTACATTACACATGGGGAAAACCATGAAAATGGTTATGCAGCTAGTTTGTTGGCCTGGAATTAAAACCAGGTCAAATTACCACTGCTCCCCCCCTTTACCACTCGGCCACTGATGGGACCTTTTTACAACTTGACAAAAAAAGCAATGGATGATGAAATTTTTAAATGTTGATAGAATTGAACTAAAGAATATTTTGGGTAGAGTAGACTTTAAGGTACCCCTTCTATTATGCCGAAGTTGTTGTTTGATTTATCGCCATGTTGTTGTTTCATTTATGGTAGCCTGAGTAGTTGAATGTTATCGAAACCCTATTGTGACGTAATCAGGTGCATGATTCTGGGAAATTTTGAATGATGGGATGTTTTGTAATCGTTTTTGTGATGTGTGTTAAAACCGTTTAGATGGATTTGAATGGGTTTGTAGGAAGAAAGGTTCAGATGGTCACTATGTGAAGTGTTCGATCAGAAAGAGTACCTGGTTTGAAAAAAGTCATTTGAGTATGATTGATATTTTGATTTTTACGTGGCTCTGGGTGTACGAAGCAAACTCGAAAATCATGCTAAGTGAATATTTGCTTTCGGTAGTGCTTAAATGTTTAAACATGATTTTCCTTTTTATGTTATTTTATTGTTTGGTTTAAAATGTATTTTATTGAGATTATGTATTTTTTGTTTGCCTATATTGTAGAATTTGGTGCTCCTTTAACTTTCTAAGTGAAAATATATCGATGTGTACATGGACAAAGTAAAGGGAGTGCGCAATGCAAGTTTGTGCAATTCTGTGATTTTTTTTTTTAAGTGAAAATCGGTCAACGTGTACATGAATAAAGTTAAAAGAGTGCGCAATGCCATTTTTGTGCAATTCGGGGATTTTTTTAAAGTGAAAATAGGTCGACGTGTACATGGATAAAGTCAAAGGAGTGTGCAATGCTATTTTTGTGCCAGTCGGTTTTTTTTTTTTTTTTTTTTTTTTTTTTTTTTTTTTTTTTTTTTTTTAAGTGAAAATAAGTTGATGTGTACATGGATAACGAGTTTGTGCAACTGTTTGTCTTGTTATTTTGGCTTTGTGTAGCGGCGATTTTTGGCGCAAAAATGGTGCTTCGCAAGCCAAAATAGCGAGTCAAAGAATTGCACAAAATGAGTATCCATGTATTGCCAAGGGGTACCCTAAACTATACTTTTACCAATATTTTATTATATATAAAAAGAAATTCAATTTTGGAGCAAACATGTCTGAAGGATTTAAGATGCAAGCTTTCAAAATGTTTGCACAAAGCAGATACATGAGCAATTTATTACAGCAAATGACAATGCCCAGTGGTATTTATTTCAAGCCATGAGACTTTTTTGGAGTACCCTTTGGATTATGGCCAATCTGTTGTTTCATTTATCGCCAGCTGTTGTATCATTTATGATATGATAACAAAGTATTTTACGGTGTATGTTTTGGAAACCCTATCATGACGTGACTGGCTGTAATTGATCGCACTGATTTTGAATTGATGGTGCTTATTTTGTGTTGTACACCGTAAAAAAGCTGCTTGTGATAAGATCAACATGAAGTTTCTTTATGATTTGGAATAAATAGGAAAGAAATTATTGACTGACTGTTGTGTAAATGAAGGTTTAATCAGTAATCGATATAAATGTCCTGTTTGTACGAAGAAAATGCGTATGGTCAAACGTAAAGATCGTTCAGATAGCTTTCAATGAGCTTGTCATGAGAAAATTTCAAATACTCACTATATAAAACATTCCATTAGAAAGGGATTGTGGTTTACTGAGATTATAATTTTTGTGTCTGGGTTTTGGACGACATTTTACTTGGGAGGGTGTTGCACTTAAACAAGAATGGAGCCAAAAAAGTCCCCAATTTTCACTAAGACGGTCCTGAAATATAATTTTCCCCTTTCTTTTATTAAAGAATCTCAGAATACCTGGATAGAGTAGAGAGAATGGTACCCCTTATGTTATCGTGAAGTTGTTGTTTCATTTATGGTAGCCTGAGTAGTTGAATGTTATGGAAACCCTATTATGACGTAATCAGTCGCATGATTGCGGTAAATTTGCAAAGGCTTGTAGGTGTGTGTTGGTTAGGATGTATATTGCTTGTTTTGTGGTTTAAATGGTAAAATGGCTGAATGAGATAAGATTAATTTGAAGTTTCCATACGATTTGGAAAGACAGGGGAAATAAGAATTACTTGACTGGTGAGTAAATGAAGATTTACTTAGTAGCCATTATTAAGTGTCCTGTTTGTAGGAAGGAAATGCGCATGGCCGAATGTTGGGGGATACCTGCACTACAGAGGATATTTTTTACTCTTATTTTGTGAATTTATGTGGCAACGCCAGTATACAGATTTTAGTTCAGATAATTTTAGGAAGTTTTTGGATGCTGTTGAGGAATTTTGTTTGAGTGAAGACATGTTAAGTGATAAATAACGCGAGTGGATATTTCCTTTGTGTAGTGCAAAGATGAATTTCCTTTTTTATTTTATTTAATTGTTTGATTTAAAATATAGGTTATTGAGATTATATATTTTTTGTTGGCTGCTCCTTTAAGTGAATATAGTTTGATGTGTACAAAGTCAAGGGAGTGTGCAATACTTAGTTTGTGCAATTGTCCGATTTTTTTAAAATAGTCGATATATACATGGATACCGAGTTTGTGGAGTTCTTTGTCTGGCTAATCTTTGGAATATGGTAACAGGTAGTTCGGTGACATTTTGGTAAGGCGATAAAGGTTACTAGCTAGGACGTTAGCAATGTACATGGATAAAGTCAAGAGTGTGCGCAATGCCATTTTTGTGCAATTCTGGGATGTTTTTTTAAGTGAAAATAGGTCGACGTGTACATGGTTACCGTGTA